TTGGCTCTTACAGAAAAGAGCCCATTTTGTCTATTTTGTGTCTGAAGTCGAACTCACCCACACAGCTCAAAGCTGTCTCGAGAGGCTCATGAGTTTGCTGACAGCAGTTTCTATATCGAAGAGACTTCACAAAATGAGATTTTGCAGAAGTGACTCCATTACATAGCACTTCTTATTCAGTCCTGGAAACAACTTCTATTACTGAAAATGACATAGTTATTTCTCAATAAGAGAATGGAGAAAAAGGTGTTTATAAAGAACAGAAGAAAACTGGCCTTAGAACAAAAGAGCTCATTTTAAGACATTGGGGAAAAAAAAACCCAACCCAAACTTCTATGGCAAAAAAGAGCCCTGCAAGGAGCATGAACATGGAATGACTGGAGATGACCCAACAGTTTCCACCCCCAGAACCTCACCCCCCAAACCCCTCATCTTGCATCTCTGTGGGGGTGAAGTAGTTTTACAGGGTTTGTCAGTGGCTGCAATGTTTGTTTTTCAACTGGCTCCCCACCTGCCCTACAACTACACTTACCAGCTGATGGAACTGCAGACTTACCTTTACAAGTACAGAACAGGTGAACTAAGAGAATCCCAAGCCAGAGTTTCCCTTGGATTTGCACTGAACTCAAGCGAAAAAAGTGATGCTTAGAGAAGTACTTGAGCCTGTGGCTCTATAAGGCAGGTAATAAGATCAGTAAGAAGCTGATGAAACTGCCTGGAAATTGTAAAACACTGCTGGCCACATTAAATCCCAAAGCAGGAAGCCCAGACAAGATGAAGTAGTATCAACGCTTTTGTTTCAGTTTTCTACTGAACAAATCATTTGTCATTGTGGAATTGGGATGCAGTGTTTTTTGAACTCATTCTGTCAAAAAAGAAGAGATTTAATAGATGCACACCACCAATTACTTTTCAACCTCTATTTCTGCAGCATCTTGGTAAACAAGGGAAAAGTTTTCTTCCCCTCAGTCTTAAAAAATAAGCTAATAGAGAGCAAAAGAACAGCTCACGAAACTTCTCCTAAATTTACATTTTAATGCAACAGTACTTCAGTCCAAGAGAGACCTGAACATTACAAGGAAAAGGTTACTGCTCAGCAGTTCACGCTCGACTCACTCAGACATGATGACAGTTGTTTAAAAATGTTAAGGTTGGCCACAATGGCAAAAAAAACCCCAAACCAACCCCAACCACCCACACCAGTCATCAGATTGGAGCTGAAGTCTTACAGGCTAATATTTGCACTAACAATCTAGATAGTTTGTATAAATACTAACAAATTGATACCATTTTAGCTGGCTGCATTCTGCAAGAAAAAAGAAGGCAATGAAATAATTTAGCCTCTGCTTCTGAGAGCACTGCAGCTTTCTGCATTACCAAAAAGCTACAGAAAACTGTTTTTCAAATGACCAGACAACTTTCGTGTGAGGAGGGATATGTCCATGGAGAGGCATCAGCAGAGTCACACATGATAAGAGTTACCCTTGTAAACAAATATTTGAGACATACTGAGTTGCAGATAAAGGAAATCAGAAAAACCTGTGGTGTTTTTTTTTGTTTTATTGAAATATGAGCAGCAGTATGCAAAAAATATCTTTAAAAACATAACATAGCAAAACCTAGTAATTTTAAAATTAACAAAATAAAAAGATGTTTAGAGTTAAATGAAAAAAAAACCTCATTGCTAGAACTGTGTTTCCTACAATGTAAACAAAAGCATAAAGGTTATGCTTGCAACGAACACAGAAGCAGGTTTATGGAGCAGCACAAGAAAGCAACGTTATGTTGTAATCTGATGGTTTGGTCTATTGATTTGAACTCAGAATGGGAAACCTTCCTAAACAGAAACATCACAACTACAGAAAAAAGTTAGTCACATGTTGGTTGTTTGAAGCGAAACATTTAGAAAATGTTTTGGTTTCACTTTTGGGACTTTTGTTTGTTTTTCCTCTGGAAACCATCGCTAGCAACACTTTGAGCAAGTAAAACAGTATCTTGAAAAGAAGAATTTCAGACTAGGGAGAAAGCCTGACACGTTTTAATGTCTGCTAGAGTTTCACTGCAAGAATCGCAGTTAATCTTACACTCAAGAAGCGACAACTTTCGTATTGTAACACTGTAGGGGGAAAAAAAAATAAATCATTGCTTCAAGCAAAAACTAAGAATTCCAATACTTTCAACCATTCTCTCCTGTAGCATAACCCCTGGGCTGTTTCATCATTCCTTTGCCTAATGGGCTGCTCTGTTCCATTTGTCTCTCGCTCATACTACGAAGTTTTGGTTTGGTCCTGTAGATGCTATAACCCAATTTCAGCCCTTCATGTACAACTACTTCATGCCTCCTGCAGCTAAATGAACGTGGCACACAAGGCACTGGGTTGACTGCCAGCACGGCTCAGGTGTCTGAGGAGCAATACCCAAGCTGCTATCTTATCTCAGGGACAATATAAGCAATCCCAGAAAGACATTCTCTATAAACTCTAGGCTCTCTGCTGGTACTGACAGTGCTGGGGTTGGTGCAAAGCAGAAAAATGCCCCAGAAAGAAAATACACTACAAAAGCCAAATTAGTTTTCACTGAAGAGTAACATTCAGTCTAGACTGGGCTAAACTGGAAAGGCTCCATCTTCCATGACCACACTGCTGGCTGATTCAATCTCTCTATCCCTCCATCTAGATAAAGAAGTGATTTCTACCCAAGTCTGCTGCAGCAGAAGCAGCACTCTCTGCTCTCTCCATGCCTAACACATCATGAGGGTCAAACAGCTCTCCAACCAATCCATCTGTGCACTGATAGCTCAATTTTCTATCAGCAGCACAGATGAACTGAACAGGATCAGGAACACCAACATCTGCTAACTAGAAAGCTCCCCAAAAAACCCTACTTAAAAGGAACAGAAAGTAGAACACAGACGAATCCTACTGGGTTTGCTCCTCCAAGCCTACCCTGCCAACACCAGCAGTCACAAGGATATCCCAGCACTGCATACCTTACAGTTCCAGAATATGTACACAAGCATAAAATTGCCAGAGCACTTTAGTACTTAATGACAGTATCAGAAGTGGGTTAACTGGATATTATTGCAGAAATTATGGTTCAGTGCACGGGTAGCCAATCTAACCACAAGACTAGCAGTAAGCACCAGCTCTGGCTCACAAACACCCACTTCAGCACCCACTCTTGAGTCATTCAGTTGGCCACATCTAAGCAGACAATTGAACAGAGATGAAGCAAAGTGAAAAACATTTCGGATAAAGTAAAATCCTGTACCTACAACTGAGATCTTTCCTTTATCCAATGTGCCATGACATTTATTACAAAAGCTAGTCAAGAAAAATAATATTCTGTAGTGTCAAATATACATATTCAGCAACTTGACAAAAGTCAGGCCCCAAGGAGAAGAAAAGAAGCTGGATCCTGTGGCCAACTGACTTGGCATCTTATTCAATCAAAAGAACCATCTGTGGGTTGCAGCTCCAAAGAATGAAAGAGAAGACCCCAAAGGTGAGCAGCAAATAATGTTACTCCCCTTCTCCTGAAGATGCACTTGTCTGTTTTTAAACATACTTGAGAAATTACTAAAAAAAACCAAAACACAAAAAAACCAAAACACCAAGTAATACAGAAATTCCTGTACAAGAAAACATTAGGGTTCTGCAGAAGTGTTACAGTTTATTCCTTTAAGGCATTTCGTAAGAAACATTTTAATGACACGTAAACAATTTTAATCCTTTAAGATCATTTGTTACTCAGGTACCATATGATGCACAATTTCCACATCTGAGCAGAAACTATCATTCAATAGAAGACACAAGAACTTGTGTATGCAATGAATGTCTCAGGATTGCAGTAATTAACTGCAACACATCTTAATAAGTATTTGCATTTTAGAGTTTTCAACCTCTCTCCCAAACACTGAACACTGTTCTGAAGAGGTGTCCAGGAAAGAGAAAAAAGGAGGGTGAAAAGTTAACAAATTTTCTTTTTTCCTGCATGCAAAGAAATTTTGTCTATAATTCACTTCCAATTCTCTTAGAATATTTCCTTCAGCCTCCCTTTTTTTTTTTTACTGTATAAAGGGGGAAAATATGCATAGGTTATTTAACTGATTTCTTTTAGTGTTTAGTACAGTGTTACAATTTTCTACTGAGTAATACAACAGCACAGGCAACAGGATCCCTTATATGTGAGAGAGAAATTTCATCATCATATTAATGCAGTCCTTCAATCCCATAAAGCTGCCAACTACAGTTACAAGTCTTCTGACTGAACTCCTGCCACCAGGGACAGGATCGAGGCCACTGTTTCATGCAGGCTACAAAGAAGTGATTACTTTTGGTCATTACCAACAGGTCTGTATTAAATTACATGATCTGGAAAGAAAAGCTTCTGCGTTCAGTTACTCATTTGCTAAGCCACTCACAGTCTTCAGAGAGACTCAAACTCATACTGAAAGTGAATTAATACAGTGTAATCACTAATACTGCGTAATGTCTACTGAGAGATTAAAAAGGCCTAACACAGATCAATTCCAGACAGGTAAAATAAACAGCTAGAACACCAAAAAGAAAACAAAAAACTTACTCCTTCCAAAAAAAATAAAGTAGTAAGCACTGCCATTTACAAATAGTAGTGTTTGTGTTAAAATAGAGAAGGGTACCTAAAAAGAAATAGCCTTGGCAACCAAATCCAAACGGCATGAGTGTAAATCAAAGCAAAACAGGAATTACTACTCCAGAAACGTGCAAGATGTTTGCCTTGTATCAATTACTATTTAAAACGGTGGTTAAAAGAGATATTACAAAACCAAAGTGGGAAAAGGCTAAGAACTGCTATTCTGCAATAATATACAGTGTGTTTATGACAGCATTTTCCAATAGAAAATACAAGTGTTTTTACACCACTCCAATATTTTTAAAAAGTATATTTCACGTGTACACTTAGAAAAAAAAAAATCACATTGTTCAATCTGAGGCAAATTAGCCATAATAAAGTCTAATTTTGCTTATGACAGATGTCAGCCTTAAGATGTAAAACCACTATGCTAAAAACTCAGTTTGCAAGATGGAGCTGCACATGTTCAAACAGTTTATAAACATTAAAAAAAAATAAATCCCAAACTATGATATGTACTTATTTTCTGAAGTCAGTCTTCTTAATTCTTGTCCCTACAGGACAAAAAGGTTTTCCAGTTAAGACATATGTCTGTTTAAGTTCTAGGGGAAGAAGGGGAAAAGTGTTCTGAATTTTTCAATAGACTTTTTTTTTTCCCTTAGGGCTCAACTGTCACTTAAGCATCACAAGAACAATTTGAAATGTAAAACTGATTAGCTATACACAATAGAATTGGTCACAAAGGGATTTTAAAAAAAAAGAAAGTTAAATTGTAAGATCCATTCTCCATATAGCTCACAGTATCCACACTGGAAGTTTCTCTAGAATTAGAATAAGTTCGCTAAAAATAAGGCAGAAGGTGGAATTTCAGCACTATGAAACTGATGAGATGGGATTAAGAGGAGAACCCATTTGTGTAAGTACTTTATCCAGCCACTGGAGGGGCCCATGAAGGTGAATTTCTATCCAGCACGGGGTGCTCGTCACATCCTGCCGGTGATATTCAGCTCCCCAGCCCTATAGAAATGAACAAAATGGGATCAATCAATTTGAACACAGCCTTGTCTTTTAAAGTAACTACTCACAAGAAGCAGGAAATCATGATCTAGGATACTTATCTGCAGGTAATTCACAATCTAACACTTCTCATCTATTTGCAATCTAACATTTCTTATCTATTCACAATCTAACACTTATCTTAAGATAAAAACCTGAGGCTGGGAAGGAGCAGGAGGGAAGCTGCACCTGGAAGTCTGAATCAAGTCTTGCCTGCTACAGACTTGGAGTGACTGCTGGAGCTCCTGTTGGAGCTCACTGCTTACTTGAGGATGACTCCTGGCTGTGGCCACATCTCTCTCCTGTTTCTCCCTCCTCCACGTTCTCAAACTGAGCAGTATTTATCATAACTGACAAAACCAACAAGACATCTTTTGGACAAGATGCAAAAAAAAAAATCCCCAAAAACACCCTGAAAGGGACAAGTCTAGACTCCACACTAAATCTGAGCCAGACAGCATCTTGAGAAAACACTCCTGTGAGAGTAGCAGCAGAGCTGAACTTCATAAATTCAAATCATGTCTTTGTCCCATAATCATTTTTAAAAAAGCATTATAATAATCAATTTGAAGGAGGTGAGTATTTTCTGCTATCAGTTATGCTCCTTTCAACTCACATTCTTTTAATGGATTTGTTATTCACTTTGTTCCTTCAAATTTAGAACATGAGCTTAAACCTCCTTTAACAAAATTACAGCAACCACAATGACTAAATCCCTGTCCTGAATACTTAAGTAACTAAATACACAGCCAACATTCAATACAGTAGTGGCTGCTTTTCCTTTCTTGCATTGATTTCCCTCTCCCCAAATTAACAATTTTCAATATACTTATACTTGAAAAGAACCAAACCACATCAGGTCAGAACAGCTTTGCTGCAATGCTAATGGAATTACTACTAAATACCCCACAATAAACCTAAACACCCTCAAAACAATTTACCTTTACAAAACTCATTCGAATGGTGCACATTTTGGTGAGCTCATACACTGCTTCAAATCCATGGTTGACAGACTGAGCTAAAAGCTGAGCAAACTCTTGATTGTTAAAAATTTTCAGACTGCATCCACTGGGAATCTTGCATACAGTTGTTGGATGAAAGCCATGGTGGTAGTTGCAGTTTCTGCTCTGTACAAATATGCTGCTATCACTTAAACACTCAGCATAGACTTCTCCACCAACATAGTAGAGATGAACTCCTTGAAAACAAAGATAAAAACATTTCAAATTACTTTGCTGTCTCTGATTTCGAGGTAGTTGTAGTAAATACTTTTTTTTTTTTCAAAAAAGAGACATTTTCTGCCTGAGGATCTTTTCAGAAAAGTTCTTTTGCTCACATTCTAACACATTTCTCATTTCAAACTCCAGTAGGTCATGATATACCAGCCACTAGATGTCCTTCTCTGATCAATTACAGAAGAGAATGGAAAAAAAACACTGCCACATTTCAACAGTTATTTCAAGCTCTTTTCCTAGAGAACTTAAGTGGACTTGCAAACTCCAGTTTCAGACAACTGGTAGCTTTTGCCTATGGCAATTCCAACAGAAATAAGTGTGTCCTGGGAGAAGTGACAGACATGAATGAAAGAGTACATCCATATTCTGCTCTGATTTCCAGTGCATTTTATCAAGACAAAGGAGAGGTAAATCCAATTAGCAGCTCAACTTAATTGCCACAGGGCTTTACAGACCTTAAGATCACCAAAGCCCCTAGATTTATCCTATCTGTCTGGATTCAGCTATGCAAACAAATGTTTCCTTCCCTGTTATGTTTTGAAGCCTATACAACACTGTTGCTGACTAAAAATTAATGGATCAAAGCTGCCAATCCTTTCAGCTTCCCAACACGGATTCTCACTGCTACTTCAGCTGAGATCCTCATCTGCCTTTTCCCCCACACCACTGTTACATGGGTGGGATACAGTTCAGTTTAAGTCCTCCTGGAAAAACCCTGAGAATCCACTGCAGACTATCCCCTGGTTTGCCAGCTGAGGCTGCAGCAAGTCAACAGATGCAAGTTAATCTTTCAGACAGCAGCAACTCTTGTGAACGTTGCTAGATCCACTTGGGACTAAGGTAGGATGGAGGTTACACAGAGACACCATTGGCTTCAACTCCAAGCAGCTGTCAGAGAATCTGGGGTGGGTAAAAATGCATTTTCACAACACAACCCTATTTATTTAAAAGGACAAGGACCACCACTGACTGAGTTAGCAAATAGGACTGGGCAGTTTCAAGGAGGCAAAACCCCAAGACCTTTCAAACAAAAGCTATAAATAAAGAGTAGTTTATCCACAAACTCAATTGTTGTCAGAATAGTTACCATAAAGCAAAGTTTAAGTCCAATAATTACTATTAGATAAGTAGTTTTTCAGGCTCATTGCAGCCAATACTATTCTACAACATGACAATGGAATCTGGTCACACTTCTGACCTTAGGCAGACACAAAAGATTTCTCTGCCATTCCCATCAAAATGGGTGAGCCAAAACGAAACAACCTGACAAACCACCCACACCCCAAAAATCAGTTGTTCCCCTTTGTAACATTATTTCATTTATAAATTTTCTTGGATAATTGTATTGCAGAGCCAAGTTTTCAACAGGTATTAACAGAACTTGTGGGGTCCAGATTATCTGCAAAATTTTTCCTTATTTATAGCAGTTTCTAACTGAAAGACTGTTAAGGGACAGGATGGATCTTGAAGGGCAATTATAAGAAACAGTGGTTTTCATCAAACAAAACTCAAGATCAACTGCACCAAATGACCTCAGGTGGTAAAAAGGCCTCTATATATGTGCAATAGAAACAGAGTTCTCTTCTCAGCACTGACTTAGTCACAGAAAATTATATATTCAGGAAAGGAGTACTACAATTTGAGATAATCCAAACACATTCCATCAAAGATGAAAACTGTGCATCTCTGTGTGCTATCAGCCAAACAGTACGGGAAAACTAGAAGATCTTGCAAAACCTGCTGTCTCCAGGAATCCCTCCCACACACATACACACCCCATGGATTCACTCAGACAAATGAGCCCTTGCAGTTCTGCATTAGCACTTCAAAGTCCTGTTACCATCTCACCGAGAGATTTGAACACACTGCAGACAGCACTGAAATACCTTGCAACAACAAAATCAAAAAATCTTTGATATACTGTAAAGAGGTATGAAAGATTTAACAAGTAGAGATAACAGAACATCAGAAGTCCTGCAATGTTTCTTGGTGCTGAAATACAGACTTCTACATATAAATTATCATGACCCCCAACAAATAAGCTCCACAATTTGGTAAGGAAGGAGTAATATTTAGTCTTTTACACAAGTGCCAAAGGAAATCATACGCAATTCCTGACTAATTAGAATCAAAGCATGTGTAAATAAGTTGTGTTCTGATACTGGAATTACCTCTAATAGTCTCATCTGAGAAAAATCACTGCTGCAGTGTACAGAAGCTGAAATAAACCCAAGGATTTGGCTTGTTAACCATGAGTAACACAACTGAGTTTTACCTTTCCCGATGTGCCGCCTGGTGTTCTCGATCGTTGAGTTGCGATTGACATTGGAGAGCAAACCTAAGCAGAACCTGTTTTTGTTATTGGAGGGATCTGTAAACCCATCTACTAAGACACTTGTAGAAGATGCATGAAAAGCCTCCCCAACACGATTATTTAATTCATAATACACGATGGAACACCAGTGTTTGGGCTCTTCGTAGGCAACAGGCTGAACATCTGAAAAGACGCAAAGAGAAGTAACAGTTGATGTATGTGTTAAAATATTAAATCTAAAACTGTAAAGCAGACTTTCCAAAACATCAACAGGTAAAGCAAAAGCTTAGTTACTAGTTACGATGGGCAAGAAGTGTCCTAATTAAGATCTTAATGATTTTTACCTTCGTGCATTTTATCTGGTCTGTTGATTTTACTATTATTTTCCAATCTGAAGTTGGATATTAAACAAAAATCCCCTAGACACACAAAAAGACTATGTGATAGCAGGTGAAACATGACTCTTCTGCCCACTTTTAAAAAACCTGACATAATTGATATTTTGGGACTCAGTGTTCAGAGCCTTTGTGCATATGTAATTCCAGCAACGGGCAAAGGTAGTAGAAAAGAAGTTCAGGTTGTTGTAAGCTACACCATACACCTGAGGCTTTAAAAGCAAGAGATGAAAATAAGCAAGGCAAGTTTTATTTCTGTTTTCTCTGCTACAGCACAGTCTGTATTGGAGGGCTCCTTCTACTTATCAGCAAGATTTACTGGGCCAGTTGAAGTCACTCAGTTTGGCCATGAGTTACAAGAAGCCAAATTATGTAATTTTACACCAGGCTATACAACTTACCTCTGGTAGATATATTTGGCATGATTTGAGGGATCATTGTATTGCTTGTGTCCATAGACTGTGAGTTATCCTGCCCCATTTGATCATCAGGGGGCATGTATGCAGGAGGTGGAGTATCAGCTATAAACAGGAAAAAATAAGAATAAACCTCAACAATTCAAAATATTTATTTATTCATTCTACAGCCATAAACACACCAAAATACTCTTGAATAAGAGATGTTAAAAAATCTGGCCTCATTTTCAAAGTCTTTACAGTAAACTCCTTCAATAGCTGAAGCTTTACCTATGGGACTAATTACAAGATTGGACACCTGAAAAAAAAAAAAGAGATGTGCTTTTTTGCCTTTTTTTCTTTAACACCTGTATTCCTGCAGCTGGCCAAGATGACTAGAGCTCCCAATTTTTGCCAAACATTAGCTTTCTTGCCTGTCTTCTCCACATTCAAAAATAAAGTAGTAGAAGAAATAACTTCATTTGCCATAGCACAATGAAGGCCTAAAGCATTTAATTTCTTGCTGCTTCTGTAGGCTGAGTTCATTACCCAAGTCTAGATCTCTGTATCCTTTCACCAGCACAGCACTCAGTGTCCCAACACACTGTTATGCCCCATTAATACATCACCCCAGTTGGCCAAGACAGTTATCCACTGCCTGGGACACTTCTTTTGAGGAACTGAGCAACGAGAAAGAACAAAGATGAGGCCACTGAGCTAGTGGAAAAATAAAATTTTTAATCAATTAACTTCTTGGCACCATAAATCACACCAATAACTAGACAGAAACATTAAGCCCTCCTTCCCTTACCCCATCAATTGTTGCTTTTTCCCTATTTTCACCCAAACTGGTTAAACTGATCTGTTCCTAACAAAACTTTGCTACTGTTTTCCAGTTAAACACCAGATGTAAGTATCTACTCAGGGAAAGACATCAATAAACTTCTTGCTCAGCCTCTTACATTTGTTTTCTTTTCACAGCTAGATATTCCACTCAAGTATGCATCAGGTATTCTATACTGAGGCTGTGCAAAATAACTCACCACTACTACACCCATGACAGAAAAGCATTTGGAAAAACAAACTCTAACAATTAACTCTGACCAGTGACAAAATTAGGAAGAAACCCCTCCCCCCAAAAAATACAAATGAAAAAGCAATTTTATTGCAAATATCACAAATTCCTCAGGCAATAAGTAACAACAATATGTGACACTTCAATTATTTTGACTAGATTGATATTCAGGCTGTACTTACCTGGTAGCTGAAATGGACTTGATGGTCCAGAGCTAGCTGGGGAGCTTGGGTAAGTGCTGCTGGCTGGAGAAGGAGGATAGGGACTGTTTGGTGAGATGGAAAATGGAGTGCTGTTGGGCTGCTGGAAAGAATCTGGAAATGTCGCGTTGTGTGGCATATGTGGTTCGTTGTGGCTTAGGTTCCTGAACTGAACTAGTAGACTGTGCTGTGGGTTGAATTCACTATGTCTAGGCACTAACACTGGAGGTAGAACTGAAACAAAACAAAACAAAAACCCAGACAAATTTAGATTAAAACCGAGACAGAACAGATACAAATAATGCGCTGTTCTGTTCATTAGGATAATTTCAACACTTGCTGGAGTGGAAAGGAGAAGGGACCAATCTAGCATGTCTTTATCCCATCCTCTCTTTTTTTTACATTATGCTTCATGGAAGACTTAAAATTTTACTCTTGCAAAAATCACAAAAACACATGTATTTCGAGCAACTGGAAGATGACCTCTTTTATAAAACAAGAAACCAACAAAACAAACCAGTTTACACATGGCACATGCTGAAGTACTGAAGTATACATGCAAAACTCACTGTGTACGTCAGCAAATCAGTGAAAATGGAAATACAGTACAGATATTACTACAGTCAAACCATATGGTTACATATTGTCCTTTTCACTGAAGACAAACAAACTCTATACTACAATATACAACCATGGCTAACCTGGAGTTTTACCTTTGAAATTAGGGACTGCTGGAGTCTGGAATTCATGCACTGCAGTAGAGCACCTGAGCACTACAGTCAGCTACAGTAGAGCTGTAACTAATTTGTGGAACTATGGAAGCAACTTTTCACTACAGTGTCCAGAGCAACACTCTGCATCTGCCCCAGTCCCAACCCCAATCCTCCTCACCTTCTCCCATGGCAGGATGCCTTAACAGCAGATTTGGTACTCTGCTGTAACTGATCATCACTCTTGGGTCTATTCATCTCTGCTCTCTGCGAACTGGAAGTCATGTGAGGAAGTCTACTATTCTAGAATTTTATTTACTCTTTTTCTCCTCAATTCCTGTCACTCACTGATGAAATAGTAAGCCCTGAAGGAAGGCCATCAACTGCCTTACAAGGACTGAGATTTTTAAGCAAGTTTCTGAAAGAAACTGAAGTCTTTTCTCATCACTGCTTTCTATTTTCAGGACTTTGCTACTAACTTTAAGGGTGGTAAGCTTAAAAGATCTGTAGGAAAGATGTGATTAATCACAAAGAAAACAGCTAGTGCAGAATGGACAACACACCTCCCCAAAACCCCACCAGTAATGTACACTTTGAACACTCCTCTCACAAACTCCCTCATACATCAATTTTAACTGGTTATAGAGTACTGGAGGAGGAAGAGAGAGTGAACACTAAGTGGTTACTGAAGATTTTGTTCAGATAGTCATTTTCGAACATACCTGGGCTCTCCACCCTTTTGTAGTGGTATGGATTGATGCAGACTTCCTTCTGTTTAGATCCAAAAGGAAATTCACAAATATCCAATGGCTTTAGCTCGTGATGGCTTTGCAGATCAGGCCAACGCCACACGCGGCAGTAAATGACATGGGGAAGGCCTTTCCTGTGAGAAACCTGGAGTCGTCCGTCCAAAGAGCGAGGGATAGTAACACACTTGCTGGGCTGTCCTGGGCTGCTCAAGGCTTTCTCCAGTTCTTCCATAGCACCCTTTTTCTTTTTCAGCTTTTTTACCAAAGCATCGACAGCTTTTTCTGCCCATTTTTCCTCTTCATCTCCTTGTTTCCAGCCCAACAGACGCTTTACAGCTGGGCTAGTAAAGGAGAACAAACTGGCCATTGACGTCATTTGACACAAGTCTTCAAAAGGTTTGTTGGGTTTTGTCTGTTGTTTCCTTATTTGTTGGGTTTTTTCCCCAAATGAATGTCAGTGGATACCCAAAGCAGTTACTGCCACTGATGAGCTGTATTATTTCTTGGAGGTTGACAAATGAACATATGTAAGTCAGTGATGAAGTCTTCACATCAAAAATGATGATTGATTCCTCCGATTTAGTTCTATTAAAAAGATAAGTTAACAAGGAATTAGCAAACAAGTAAAACAAAAAGGCAGATATTAAAAGACTCATTGTTTCAACCCTAGCATTGTACCTGTTTTTGTTTCAAAACAAAACCCCAGAAGTACCAGGACCTCACACAGAAAAAAGATCAGATTCCCCAATTCTTGCATTACTGATTAGTGGGAAAAGAGACCATCAAGGGATGACAGGGACAGCATAGTTTCTGTTAATGTTCCTTAAATCCATGGTTCTCCTTCAGAAGTCAGGCTGGAGGAATATGCTTTAAAACTAATAGAATATCTAGCTCATGGTGCTTCACTAGAAGACTAAATTCACTATGAAGAAAGAGAGAAGAGGCAGAGTAGAACTAGCAGCTCCATAGCCAGTACTGCATGGAAGTACTCAGCTTCGCAAATGGATCTTCATTTTCCAAAAGGAGAAAATCCTACAGCATCTGCTTTTTCTTGACCTGTAATTAGTTACTCCATGTTTTCTGAAGGGTATTAAAAAAATTAGGAAGAAGCTGTAGATAACAAAAAGAAATGACAATTGAAAGAAAGGCCCATTAAAAAGCTCCAACCAACCCTTCCCCAGCCACTCAGAAAGGTGATCAACCCTTTTTAGCTGTGGCTATTTTTATGCTGCACTTCCTATTATCTTTTAAGAAGAATATTTGAAGCACTGGATATTTATAGTCATTGGCCAAAAAAAAAAATTGTTTTCTTTTCCCCAGAAAAAGAAGGGGGGAAAGGCATGGCAGAGTAAGTCCTAGCAATGTGACCTTTACTACTCACTGCCTCAGAAAGGAGCACAGCAGAACAGCACTGAGGGACTCGCCCAACCCTCATGAATGGTGTTTTACCACTCTGCAGCTCTAATGCAAATCCTCCCCCCCAATTTCAGGAGTACCGATGACAAGAGGAAATGATGTGCTGTGGCAACGAACTGATAAGAACTTGTAAAATCCCTTGTGAATACTAAATAAGCAAGTGTAGACAATGAGCAGCTGGCAAAAAGCAAGAGCAGAGCTAAGAGAAAGGATGTCAATAACAAAAGATGCTTCCTCTCTTGCTACGGAGACTGCCAAACAACATTGTCTCTCTACTTTTGATAAACCACGGTGAATTAGAACACCTACCACATCCCGAGACACCAAATCTGCACATAAGAGAGAAAAGGTAGTGGTAGAGAGGAGCAAGATTTAAGCACCTCTGTGCTGTTCTCTTAAGATTACCACCTTTAATCAAGACGATCTTTTTTCCTCCCATCTTTGATTAACTGAAGTTATCTGATTAAGGTTTTCTAAGTGTCTGGGCACATTCACAAGTTCACTCAGACACTGGGACAGATACTTTTTTATAACAGAACCATGCACTAAGCATCATTAACCAAGGACACAGCAAATATCTCATTTATATCCCACATGGAACCATCCTAGATTTTCTACTAGGGAGTCAGAAGGTAAGAGAGCAAGGAACAAACCTAAGGACATTTGGTGTCCCTTTACAGGAAAAAATCCATTTATTTCACACAGTAGCTTAATCCCCTTGGTACCTCTTTGGATACTCAGCTTTGTTTCAGTAATATGGAAAAAAATGGGAAAAGCAAAACAGAAAAATTGAAGATTTTTCTTCCTAAGCTCTCATAAAGAACAAAATGGAATAAAGAAATGAAGTTCTCCATTGCTTCAGTAAGTCCTTACAAGATGGCACTGAAAAAATAAAAGACCTCAAACAATTTTGTATCACCTTCTCTTCAGAAATACTGACATGTCTGCACTGTAAGCCTAGTTTAGCTCCCCAGAACTATTACACATGAGAATCTTTGCATCCTTCAGAGTAACAGGAAATATATAAAGGGAGACAAACTTTGCCAAGAACTCAGACTAAATTTGTTGTTTTACTGGGGATAAAAGTTTACTGTTCTAAAAAGTAAAAGCTGTTTACAGTTGCAACTGACTTACTGTCAAGCCATGTGTACACTGAATAGCTGCAAGACAGCAGCAATTGCTCACACCCCTAAAAAGGAAACGAACCCACCTAGAATCTCAGACCAGAAAGAATTAAAAAGCTCTACTTTTGTTTCTCAGCTATGCTTTCAAAGCATCATCAAGGAAAAGATGCAGAAGTTCCTATAGTTAAACTGAGCTCAAATGAGATTTTAAAAGCCTCTTGGCTGTTGTCACCCTAATTTCTCTCATTATCACTGCCCCATCCATATTAAGCAATTAAGTTTAGAGATCTCCAATTCTATTCCATGATCACGTATAAATTTTATTTTTAATACTTTGAACACAGTGCATCAACTAGGAAAGAAATTTTACAGGCTGCAAATGTTCAGCAACATTTACCCACAAGTATGCTCATGGAATAAACAAGCTAACTAAAAGCAAAGGAAGTTGGAACAGTTCTATTAAAATGATGTTTTGCAGTAACTAGTATTTGTAGGGCAAGTGTCAAGAGAATTTTGATAAATGACTCTGTCCCATAAACTATGATTTTAGAAATAATCTGCTTGGAGTAAGTAACACAATTAACTCTAAAAACTTGACATTCCTCTGTCTGCCTATCAACAAAAGCAAAGCTCACTAAAACAAGTATTCCAGAAGTATCATAACAGATTTGATCAAAACTGTTTCAGCTTCTTAAAAAAAAATAAAAATAAAAATTTCCACATCCATGCTTCTTCTATAACCACTGAAAAGGAGAATGCTGAAGCTTAAAACTAACACCATTTGCTGTAACTCCACTCTGGCCACCCATGAGACTTTCAAGACTCTTCTACTAAAGTGTATTTTTCCCTGTTCAAGTAAAGCAAGGGCAAACAAAAAACCCTACAAGAAAATACTAACAGGCTTTGAGAAGTACAAACGACACTGAGTTGATCTCATTCCACACCTTTCGGAAGTTCATTTTGGAAGGCAAAAATACTGAAGGTTTACAGCTTTTCCTTTTTCTTAGGAAAACAAGGTAGAATTGAAAAGCTTCGTGGATGATGAGCTAGCTTCATGGCTATTTAAGGCCACAAAGCAGTGGCTTGGTATTAATGGAGGAACCTAACATTTTTGTGTAGAAACTGCAATTCATGTAGGGTTTTTAAATTTCTGAATCAGTAGCATAAACCACATTTAGAACATTTCCTTGCATTTGCTGTAATTTCAGCATCTAATTTTTGAAAGGTTTCTAAGTAATCATGACATCTGCTAGGAACAGCTTCACCAGATATCTATATTTACAATCAATTTCTTCCGAGGCTTTAAGAGAGCACATTATGAGCTGTGATTGCAGTACAACAGTGCATCACTGTAAGGTTTGAGTACAGAAACAAATGCTTTAAAGAGTCACATTTTCATTCAGGGTTGCACAAATTACTCATTGCTGCACCTCTAGACGCAGCTGGGAACAACTTTCATGGGGAAAAAAGCTTTCTTAAATTTCCTTAAGAGGCAGAGGGCCTATTATGCATTACCTTCTTTTATTAAATAACTTTTCAGCTGAGCTACAAGAGAACATACACTGAAAAACATGCTATTATATTAAAAAACAAAAACAGTTACAAACACTCTTTAAAGAGTGAGTGTAATGAATTGCATGGAGTAGCATGAGGGGGCTTTTAATGGGCAAGTATAAAAGGAAGTAATGGCTGTATCAAAATTAGACTTTGGGGCATGCATTATTTATACATTTAAAGTTCTTGTTAACGACTACAGCAAATGGAAGGAAACTAGTTGTGTGAACAGGTCCATTGTTTGAACCCCCTTCTTAATACCTCATCTAGGCAGCCAGATATAAACAGAGTTGGCCAACAGCAGAACTTACAAGCTACAGTTCATTTGTGAAGATGGCAGAAATACACCACCTTTCATCTGCCATCACAAATACTAAGCAACTCCACTACCTTTTGGAGGTTCTGATGAAATTTTCTTAGCCTACTACATTCAACTGCCAAGTTTAGTAGATTCATTTGCTTCTATATGAAGGAATCTTCTTCTGGCTAAAAGAGCCTGAGCAGGACTCACAGCAGAACAAATAATACAAAATTACATATAGTGTATTTATTTTAATGAGATGCACTTTTAATGTAACATGTTCTGCCACTGATTCCAAAGTAATTTCCCAGCTGCAAAATCTAAATTCAAAGTACCATTAACCAAGCAGATCATCTTTCCTAGCAGCATGGCAATGAATGAGCACAGGAATAAAATGGGTAACAACCACATGGTCCTCATCCCTTTCCACTGCCAGTACTATGCTTGTGTTTCAAGTGTAAAAGCACAATTCTTTTCCTTCTTAATTCACTTGTTTGCAAATTCAGGAAGCCTCCTGTAAAATCATACCCAATCTGAAATAAGGAACTTCACTGCAGATAATAAGAAGCTGCTTGGAAACTCAATTTCATACTATAAACAAAGCACCACTTACAACCAGCAACACAACTGGGAGTTCATTAGAGCTGCTGCTGCTCTGCAGTTAAGACCATTCTGCAGTCACCTTTTGTGCTTAACTTTATTGCCCCTTCGACCTCTGAAATGCCCAAGTATTTTGACTCCATCCACACAAACATATTGCACATTCATACAGAAAGCTCAGAAACTTAACTGCAGTATATTACAGCATATTATGCTGTATACACTTATTAATACGGTCTTTAAAACTACAACCACACACACCAATTTCACCTGGTTTTATTAAAGTCCTTTTTTCCTTTTAAATTTCCTGACAGGAATTGTGCAGGACTGTGCTTACGTTTTATGATCATTTTCCCAAGTCTCCCTCTTACACTGCAGCCCAGCACACAGTGCCATGCAATGGCAAACATCACAACATTCTCTTGAGAGCAAATACAGAAGAACTGTTAGCTCCACAGCTCCTCCACACACATCAAGGATAAAATAAATCCTAAGATGACACGGTGGTTAAAAAACTTTGTTAACAACCTTGAAGAGCCTCCATGCTTCAGACCATTGCCACAGCCTCCCAACAGAAAAGATTTTT